AACAATCGGGATTGCACACGAAGTTAATGAGGGGCGTAGCACACAATTCTGGGTCATACGAGCAGGTCATGACGGTTATGGACATACTTTTATACTTTTGGTTACACTTTTGTATTTTTCTGGAGAAGACTTGATTAAAAAAAAAATTAGTCACCATGTTAATCTACATCCATCCAAAGTTTTTATTATTACCTTATTGCGCTTTATTTTGCTTGATTTATGGGACATACTTGACTACACTAGATTTTGTTTACAGTTCCCAATAAAATATGATAAAATGCTAATTATATTAGCCTTCTTTAATTCATTAAAATGTAAAGGATTGTGTGAAATTTCATCATTTCGACTACTATCCCCAGTATCTAACTGAATCGAATTGAATCGTATCACACTTTTTCTGAGGTATCAAAAAAAAAAATTGAACCGTTGGCTTAAGGAATCGATATTGTATCGTATCGCAAGGAAAGGTGTGATTTACACCCCTAGTCAATATGCATGGATTATCTGAAGGAAAAAAATGGCATATTCTATATATTATTCATTATTAGTAATATCACACATTGCCGTATATTGATGCATTCCCAATAAGTCAGAACCTGAAAATTTCCAACCACCTACTTTAAAAAAGTACCATAGAAGCTGAACAGAATGGATTTATAATGCAAATTTGTGCAACTTTGTCCAACTAAGTTTCAATCACATACATCACACAGACAGGAAGTTACATTCTGAATTGCCTTTTGATATTTAACTCTCTGTTATTAAAAGGGATGGCATGCTGTCTCTCTAATAGCACGATAATAGTGTATGTAACTATGCATGTAAGCACTTAAAGTAAAAACTTAAAACCAATATCGAGAAAGGCAGTAAGTGTTATCAGTGCTGGCAAAGTTCTTAAGATCGGAGATCAAATTTCACTCTTAATGCGACGTAATGCAATCAAAATGCCAAACTGACCCAGCTGAGACTGTCTGAATGTTGGCTGTGATTCACTCCGATGTGATGGGCTATTCGTACATGGGGGGGGGGGGCAGGGCAATGGTAGTGGGAGGGGAGGAGTGGTGCTTGCTTGCCTGTGCTCGCTGGAAAATTAAGTCAAAGGTACTGCACAGAAAATATAAATAGTACAGGAGAGATAGTATACACAGTACTGCAGAGAGTATTACCAGCACCACAGAGAGCGTATAAAAATGCTGCTTGGGGACTATAATGAGCACTGCATGGAGAGTTTAAAATGCACCACAGAGAAAGTACAAGCAGTACTATTCGGGGAGTATAAACAGAAGTATGTAAAAAGTACTGCTGAAATAGTACAAATGGTACTGCTCAGAAAGTATAAACAGTGTTACTTAGGAAGTATAAATGGTACTGTTGATGGACTATAAACAGTATTGCTCAGGGAGTATAAACAGTACTGTTCATGGAATATAAACAGCACTGCACAGAGAGTATAAACAGCACTGCACAGAGAGTATAAACAGCACTGCACAGAGAGTAGATATAGTACTCCAGAGAAATACAAATATAAACACAGAAAGAAAAGACACAAGGCTGGTTTTTATGTACACAGAGAGACAGAGAGAGAGAGAGAGAGCCCTCGTTGCAGAAATCTGAGATGGCCAGCACAGCTTGGTGATAAAGACGTCTTCTACAGTACTGTTCCATTTAAGATCTATTATAAGGAAAGCCAGATTTAGGCTTAAGAAGACCGTCATGCAGCTTAATTAGCGGACGTCACTAAAACATCACCCCGACTATGTCTGATGGGGGAGACTGCCGGAGTTTACAACGCTTGGCAGGGTGGGGGGAGGGTTTCCGGTACATTTTACTTCAAAGAGAAAAACATCACTCGGATTAGATGGGGGGTGGGGGAGCGGCAATAACCGGAAGCTATCAATTCTGTGCCATCTGTTTTGTTACCGTTTACAGCGGTTGACATAATTCGACGTTGACGAGTCGCCTGGAGAACAAAATCCATGACACGGCCACGTGGCCAGACCGCCCCAAGACAGACAGGTCCGCCTGCGGCCGGCACTGGGCGCGTGCCCCGTCCTTGATAGAGATGTTTCTGGGACATCTTTCTCACAACACTCCTTCCCTCAGATAAAACCAGTCTAGTGTCTTGACACACATGGGGGGAAAAAATTAAAGTACCAAGCACAGCACATCGTACATTAATCCCATTGTCAACTGTATTTATGCAATATTTACTGCCCTGGATGTACTCCCGCATCTCCCTGTGCATGCTGGGAAAGGCGGCCCCCATCGCCCCTACGGAGGCATCGCCATGACTCAAGTTTTACTGTAACGTGTGTTCAGAGGAACACAGTGAAATTCTTGTCACAGTTGCAGGGGAAGGGACGGGTGTATTGAGGGGGACAATAGGGCAGACAGCAGTGAGATACAGGAAAAAACAGCAGTGTAATACAGGACAGACAGCAGTGAGATACAGGAAAAAACAGCCGTGAGATACAGGAAAAAACAGCAGTGTAATACAGGACAGACAGCAGTGAGATACAGGAAAGACAGCAGTGAGATACAGGAAAAAACAGCAGTGAGATACAGGAAAAAACAGCAGTGTAATTCAGGACAGATAGCAGTGTAATAAAGGACAGACAGCAGTGAGATACAGGAAAAAACAGCAGTGAGATACAGGAAAAAACAGCAGTGTAATTCAGGACAG